TGTAAAGTTAGATCAAGACCGAATTCCTTCGCCATTAGAATCAACTCGTCAAGAGCTACAATTTGATGTATATTATGCAATGTTTCGTTCATTTTCACCGACTTCGATTTCACCCTCACCAAAAACTTGAGGTGTCTAGAAAACCACTTTCCATACGTTTTTTTCAAAAAAGCATAAGCGAGACATTTAGGTTATTTTTGATGCTCTACACGATGGACAAAGTGAAATTTTTGCTGCTAATAGTGAATGTATAAAGTAGGCGAACCTGTGTGGAAACACCCCTGTATCTCCAGCCACTCTCTAAGCGTCGGTAAAACAGGTAAATATGTCTGACGCTCAGTTATCCATTCATGTAAAACTTCATATGATTTATTAGTGTTAATTACTATTAATGAATTTTCCATAAATATGATCAAGCTATGATAATTTCAGCATTCATATAATTAGGATAAATGCTGACAAAGTGACTCGAATGAGCTGAACAACATCTTAGTTCCGGTTGGACGTTTTAAACTAACTAGGTAAATATTATCTCATAATGTAAAGAATTTCATGCTTTATTTGTCGTATGAATTGAGATTTATCGTTAATCAGTAATTATGGAAAGTAAACAAAACAGTCATTTTATCCTCTATATGTGATATAGAGTAATTATAATAAATACGTGTAAATTACATAAAAAAACAATCTATGACGTCTCTCAGACGCCAATTTTGATACTATTTGAAATAACAGAGTTGTTTGTAATTCTGAGCTCTCATGCATGTGTAAAAACCGAAAAAAAATAGAGTAGTTGTAATGAGTAATGAGAACATAATGGGCATATCATGGTTTTGTTCATTAAAATTACTAGAATAATTATTCTACTGCCACAATTAGCAATCAGATCGTGAACAAATGGAAATTTTTCATATATCTTATAAAATTCGTTTCATACTACCGCAAATAAATTGAGTGCGAACAAAAAAAGCGCGATAGTAAAAAATAAAATGAAATAAATGTGCTGAATGAAGGATGGAACATCTAACAGTTTTTGAATAATCAATCAGACATTGTATCTCTCAAATATGCTTTTTTCATTGTGAGTCTACAACGAATTATTTTACTCAGCGATCCTTTTGTTTGTAGAAGTGGAATAAGACAATTGTCTTAGCATAAAATGGTTCTCTATTTTCAACTAACATATGAATTTAATAGAAAGAAAATAATTTTTTTCTTTTGTAGTCTCAAAACACGAACAAATATTTGAAGTAAAAATTTTATTTTTAACTATGAAACACTAGTTTTCTTCCACACTTAAAACGGATGAAATTACTTTTTAAAAAAAGAAAAAATGTTTACATTCACAAACAAAACATTATTTTTAGAAGTGTACTTTTTAAATTTTTAGGGTGAGGCCGGAAAGGTAACAGACATGCATTCCTTAATAGTAGGTCAACTAAAGGACAATGTCGAAGTTATTTTGTTCTAAAAGAAAACAAGTTTTTTTCAATTATATTTCATCTTAAAATTTTGGTTTTGCTGATATGCTAACTTAGATTTGAATAGATTCTCTTAGATTATCTGTTTCCTGTTTATCTAGATTTGAACTAGTTCTAATCAGTAAGCTGACGTTGATAAAGACTAACAGTCATTTTGTTTTTAACAGAAAATGTTACAATTTGTGAGGGTATATGTTGGATATCTGATGATTAGTTTTCAAAACTCAGAGTTTGATGCTGTTGTGATAGATGATTCATCCATAAGCTCTTTTAGCGGAAGAGATAATTGTAAGTATATATCTATATGTTTCCATGCACAATCATTTCTTATTTCATCGCTTACTAGTAATAAACCAAAATAAACGTCAAATGGAATCTAATTATATCAAATTGCTGTCTACAGCACAACTAGAACTGCTTAAAATACTGAAAAAGAGAGATTTTGAGTTACAGCTGGACCAACTGCTAAATCTAACGAAGTCAAACTTGCCCAATCAAGGTCGCGAAACAAGTACATTCAATGTCACTGTGAAACACATTGAACAAATTGTGGTTGTCTGTCAGCTAATACAGGAATTCAGCGTGATTTTCAGAAAAGATTTAATGAATTATATACCGCAACAGACTATAAACTGTGTAAAATGTTGCAAATGGATTGTTTGTTTCTTTGGCCTCTTTGAAAAAATTTGTGGACGTTATGCAACAAGAATACCATTCACCTATAATACCTCTAACTATCAACAAGTTGCTATTGAAAATTTTAGAAATAACTCTATTAAAGGGAACAGGTCTTTCATTTCTGCATATCCCTGGTTAATCGGAGGCTTTCTAGTTAGCTTAGCTTTATCTAGTGCTCTCATATTTGGAAGAATAGGTATTTATAGACGATGGGCACATCGAAATAGATTAACTGTGAATGAATATTACCCATTAGACGGTACCAACTCAGATTCAGATATATTTATTGTTGACTAAATAAAATTTTTGACCTTTTAAAAAATTTAAATAGTTTGATCTTTGGCAACCATATGAAGAAAAGTCCTTCCTAGAGTGAGTGAACTGTCTATTTGTTACATTGTATTTGGTGCGTGTTGCAATTAAAATAAATATGCTATTTGTTTTGTCGAACAATCCGTCCCATAAGAATAAACGTGAAATATTTATTTTTCTTGTTCATGAACACAATGAATACGAACACAGAAACTATGCAAACCTCTAGTGCTAACTGAATAAGTGCGAAAGAAACGTGAATTTGCTCTACTTTAAATACATTTCTATTTGCAAGTTATAATATTATTTGTCTTTTATTCAATTATTTGCTATAGTTCTGTCTGTTTTTAGTGTTTGACAGTTTTACATATTCCACGATTTGCGCTGAACTCGTAGGTAGTACTAGCACTTCTATCCATATAAAGTTTATTTACCAATAACACTTTTATTCTTAATTGTTATGATCTCGTTCTATAAACTGAAAATCGTTTTATAGGAAAAAATTTTTCATTCTTTTGTAGAAGCTTATCAGATAACAAAATGTTCTCATGCTTCGTTTACTTTTTTCATCGATGATTCTACTCGTGATCACACAAAAATATCCTTCAACACACATTTTTGCTTTCTTTTTCTTTTCTTTTTAGTATTTTCTATAAAAACAACCATTTTTCTGTTTTAAATAGATAGATTTGACAACCTACCACAAAAACTACGCTAGTTGTATCAGATACTAATTTCCTTTTTTCTTCTTCTTCGTTTTATCCATAAGAGAGAGATTTTACTCAGAACTTAAAAAAATTTCTTCACTAATTAAAGACTATCCTACGATACATGTATTTGCAATCATTTTTTTTTATGAGTCACTGGCAAAAATTAGTGAGTAAAACACACTTGGACAATATAAATAAAATGAATCAATCATTTAAAAAAGAAATGCAAAAAATTTCATTTGACTATCAAGCAGCGTCTGATCACGACGTGTTTGAATGAAAACGAGATGATTTAGTGGTTGTGTTATGACACACATTGCACATGTTCTCGGTAAGGATCAAATACTTAAAGTTCTGTTTGAATAAAAGCAGCGATACGTACGATAAGTACGATACGTACGTACATTTTACCAACTTTTTTATCGTCTTTCTTTTTATTATTATTTCCAGAAATATCTTAAAAAAATTAAAAGTAAACAAACAAAAAATCTAGACCAAATTTTGTTTCAAACATTAAGAATTGTATGTCCTTAATTATTAAGAAAACCATAACAGTATAATTATCATCGTGACTTTCCGTTTGAATTGAATTCTGTTTTGTTTACAAGGTCGATGTTATTGCCAGCCACGATTATTTAACGTAATTTGTAGACTAAAAGATGTACGTTCCTGCTGATGCCTAATGTTTATTTACTCATTTTTTTCCTTTAGTTGTACATACATATCCTTCAAACGTAAGACAGAAATCATTTTTTCTCATCATTTTTCTTTTGCTTTCTTGCTTTTCTCTTCTTTTTCTGCTGTTTTTTCAACCTTGTAGAAAATAGGTACTGTATATATAAAATTGGACCTACGACCTTTGTCAAGGATACAATAGACGAGCTGATAGGCTTAGTTCTAACAAAACATGATTTTTCGAAAAATATTGTGATTATGGAATAAAGAATGTTGCTACTATGATTTGGTATTCATAATAATTTACTATTATTATACTTCAAACTATACTCATCTTCAACTTTTTTTCTGTAGACCCATTATTAACAATTGAATCAAAAATCTCTGATGCGTATTTTAAAAATATTTCTAAGTTAAAATTAAGTTAAATGTCGTTCGTAAGTCTTGAAAATTTGAGACATCCTGCTCTCTCCATTTCCTTTCATCTAGATTAAGGTGACTCAGAAAAGTCTTTTTTTTTTTGCTTGTCATGTTCTTTTACTATGAGTAGAACAAGAAATGTTTCACAGTCTGCTTTTTTTGTCTACAATGAAGGATAATAAATATCTGACGCATTGTTCTACTAAAGACAAATAAATAAATATCTTACACATATTATTTGGTTTAAAACAAAAGATCGACATCGAAATCCATCAATTCAGATATGTTTTTCAATAATATTCACAATTTACCTTAGTTTTTCTTAAGTCTCTTGATTATGACTTGAGCAGGTTGTCTAATGTAAGTCTGTATTAAATCATGCTTGTGGGATGACAGACTAAAATAGGTTTTAAATTGAGATGAGTGCAAGTCCAAATCTGATTTTGTCTTAAGTTGGATCTGAGATTTTTTTTTTAAAATACATGCGTGCAACACACTTTATTTTCTCGATCTTCTGTGATGGCTTTATTGTTTTTATGTTTAGCTTAATACATCATTTTAATTTCAGATACATAAAACATGTTCTCAGTATCTTCGAACGATCGACAAAAGCCTCATCGTCGTGATGCATATGTTTATCAACAATATATTGAAGAGTCGTCTGATAGTGAAAAAAGTATTTCCAATAATCTGACTTCAATTACCACTACTTCTTTCGATTTAATCAATAAATCTCACAGCAATCGGAAAAAACCAGACTTAAATTGTGTTGTTTGTTCGGCGCCCGCACACGGATATAACTTTGATGCAATTACCTGTGAAAGCTGTAAAGCTTTTTTTAGAAGAAATGCATTCAGAAAACCAATGGTGAGAAAACTAATCCACAAAACAACACAAAAGCTTTGATTTATTCAAGACTTTCCTCCATTGCAATATAATACAGAAGATCTGTCATACTCTGAACTGAACCCTAAGCGAAATGGACAGTCATCATTCACTTTAACGGTATAGAAACATTCTGAATTAGTTTATCTTTCTTTTTAGGATAAGAAGTTCAAATGTCGTTTGGCTAGTGAATGTATTATCGATGTAAGTAATCGTAAACGTTGTAAAGCATGTCGTTTGAAAAAATGTGAATCAAGTGGAATGAGAAAAGAATGGATATTGAGTGACGAAGAAAAATGTGAAAAACGACGAAAAATTGAAGAAAATCGGAAATTGAGAGAAATACATGTGGCGAAACAAACCAATGATTGTTGTTCGACTACTGTTCAAGAAGAAATTAGTGAAAAGGTAAAAGATTATTATAGTGATAGTGAGTTTCCAATTTTTCAATTCATTGTATCAATGTTTTTTGTTAATGAAACAGAAGATCTAAAATTTCAGTTAGAGTTTGAAATATATTTTTTGTAAGACATTTTTATTGTTTCTGTTTAGATTTGTAGTGCAGTTAATTTAACAATGGATTGTGATTTAGTCAAATGTGATGAAACAGAACAAAAATTTTCTCAATTTGATACAAATGATTGGAATATACTGAATCAAATTCAAACAGCTTATTCTCAATCTATTCAATTACTTTCTATGGTGGGTGTTCCACCCTATCCTTTTGTCTACAAATTATCCGACCCATTATTTGTTGTTAATGTTCCAATTAATATTTCTGCTACAAGACTGATTGTCTATTTTAAGTCTATACCAGAATTTATAACTTTAACAGAAGATGACAAACTAACTTTAATTAAATATAATTTATTTGCCCTGGTCATCGTTAAGGGTGTAATAGGTTATAATCCTGTTGATGATACTTATCAGGATGACCGCGCCAACGACTGTTTATTTAATGGAAAAGATGCCATACAAAATTATGGTTACGATTTTTATTATCGCTATACAAACGTTACGTTATCGTTTTTAGATAACACTGTAAATGATCGATTAATTCTTAAAATTTTATTGATTATATTTTTATTTTCGAAAGGCGCAGCTTTTACGACATGTGAATACGAACCAATATTACAAAATACTCTTCAAGTATTTCATGCACAAAATGTTTACACTGATTTATTGTGGAGGTATTGTGAACAACAGTTTGGACATATTCAAACAGCAAAAATGTTTATGAAGTTAATTCAAGATTTTATGATTACACATTGTGTTGCTCACTGTTTACAGCAATATAAACACTACAAAGATGTAAAGCCAGACGATCTCACTCCGTTAATGCAATCAGTCATGCATATTACATCACATGAGTAGTTGTGCAAATCTCACTGATGTATTTTATTAAAATCTCTTGAGTCTTAGAAACCAACTTCAGTTTGCAATTTACATATTTTTTTGTTATCTCTTGTCTGAGTGGATCTGTCTTCTATCCTCTTTAGTTCTTGTATTTTATGCATTCATACCCTAATTCATAATTGATTGTTTATTCTTCAATTTTTTCCACTGTCCGCTCTTAAAAATTTGTTTTGGGTTGTTATTGTTTTATTATAGTATATTATATTATTATCGTTTGGATTGTTAGACTTTGTGTTGTTTATATTTTGTTTTCTATAAATGATCTTTTAGACTTTTTGCGAATATCAAACAAAAATTTGTAAACAAAATTATTTACAGTATTTCTAACCGAATATTCGACAGTTTCGAACATAATTATCTGAATTTATCCGAAATATATAAATTCTTAACTAAATTTATTTGATGGTAACAAAAAAGTCAAATAGCTTCAACTGAAAAAGAATGTTGGTAATGTACGTATTACAAAATGATCTATTATACTTTACACGAACTTATTTCTCAATCAGCTTTCTTATATTGAGCCAATATTACAAAATACCCTTCAAGTGTTTCAAGCACAAAATGTTTACATTGATTTATTATGGAGGTATTGTGAACGACAGTTGTCAGACGTGAACATATTAAAACAGCAAAAATGTTTATGAAGTTAATTCAAGATTTTATGATCGCACATTGTGTTGCTCACTATTTACAACAATATGTTCACTACAAAAATGTAAAGCCAGACGATGTTATTCGGTTGATGTAATCAGCTTTATCTATATACGTAAAGAATCCTAAGTTCTCGTGAATCGAAGGTCGATAATTTCTTATGCACTCGCAAAGAAAGTATCCTTCTCTTTTTCTGCTAATGTGTTGTAATGCCAGTCAATTAGAATAATCGTGGCTAAACCATCTAAACGTACACATGGTGTAACTTCCTCAATGGAGGTGCTTTATATTCGACACATAACTGCTAAAGCTTCTAGGGATCCCAAAAGCCATATGACTAGGTACTACTTCCTTTCAACAATGACACCGGATCAATTACAACATCCATTGGTGTCACAAAAACTTGGCACTATAGCTGGCGAAGATATCCTCTTAATTGCATATAAACTTAAAAGATTAAATAGAGATAGAGAAGAAGATGGATGCTTGCTTTACCATTAAGACCATCTAAGCGTTATAGAATTTCATAATAATAAATTCTTATTACTTCATTAAAAATATAGTGATATTTCGACTCTTACAGTCATTTTCAAACAACACATAAAAGAAGTACACGGAAGTGAAGTAAGATACACACTCACGGCATATAACGATTTTCTTTCCTTAACTAGAACATGATGAACTTGACAATGTTCTTCTTTCCTTTCTCTTTCTAAAATATGCGCATATTTAAAAAAAAGGAGTTAAGATCTGGAACAGTCTGTCAAGCTACATGCTTCATATGTGGAGGAACGTATATCGCCGAAACATGTAAATATTTAAAAACTCGAGTCAATGAACATATCTCTGATAAAACAAGCTCATTTTCTATCAAAGTACACAAAATACCATAAATAAAACGTAAATTTCTAAATCGTACAAATCGCAGACTTCATCTATAAAATCTGAATCACGATTTATAACGAGATCATAAACTGATAAACTACCTACAGCAGTTAAAAATTTGGATAATAACCAATTGGATGAAGTTTTGAGCTTGAAAAACTGAACAAACGTAGAAGGCGAGCGAGTTGCATATATCAAGAATAACGGGTTTTCTCAGTTTTTCAGAAAACCCATACATTTTCATTTATGGGGAATGCGCCATAACGACATTCCTTCCTTAAGTAGAACATGTCACGTTGATCATGCGCATCCGCATACTGTTAGAACGTTGATGGAGAAAGAAAGGTCACTTATATTCTATAACTTTCATTAAAATATCTCATTCCAAGTGACTGTAAGCTGATAAAGTGCTTTAATGACACAAGAATTTCATTAATAATTCTAATGAAGTTCCGTTCAATCAAAGATTTTTAATGAAAAGTTTCTTAGTCAGTGATCTCTGTTTTTCCATCACGTTTATGATCGCATGTTTTGTTTTAAAAATACGCGAATGAAAGGTCGATGAACAGAATATAAGTGAACAGAATATCAGTGGCTATCGAGGAATGCATGAATGACTTTTCTTCATTAGAATTATTAATGAAATTCTTGTGTCATTAAAGCACTTTATCAGCTTACAGTCACT